TGCTTTGTTTGGAACTTAATACACCTATCTAGAAAGAAAAAATAGATTGTGGACATCCTGTGAAAAGGGTTAGATTCAATAGCATTCCAATAAATTGATAATTTGCAAACAATTGAATCACTGCTGTAGTTATGTTTTAAATGTGCAATTCTCTCACAACCGACAATTTGAAAGAATATCCACAATATAATCTTAAAACTGCAAATATGCTACTAGTCAAAATGGCTAAGAATATCTAGGTACATAATTTCAGTTTGTGTTTAATCTGTCATGGTTGCCACATACTTGATAATTCTGGTTTTGTACTTACTGTACTAATAAGAAAGCTTCAACTGAGTCACAGTCAATTCAACATTGCTCATTATAGCAGAGGAAAACACTTCTCCAATAATTGGGCTCAGATTTTAAGAACTAGGATGAATCCAGTTCAAATCAAGCCATAAATAATATTAATCTAGCTTCTGCATCAGAAATACCAATTGGGAGCAAAATTTGTGGTGAAACCACATAATCCCAAACTCTCAAATTTTCAAGCACCTCAACCTATTAAACAATGACCCAGTGTTCCAACTAATTTCATCCAATTCTGAAGCCATTAGGATAGCCAATTTGAACTGGGTCTACTTCATATTTCTGTTGCAGATGCATATAACAGACTCCTAGTTGAGATCCCAGTTCACTTAATTCCCTCCTGGCTGACATTTTGTAAGATATTAATGATGGAGTTTTTCCCCGGGAAGTCTTTTCATCACTTTATAAATAGCATCTGGAATTTCTTTTTTTATTATTTTCATTTTTATTTTTATGTGTGGTACACATTGTCTTTATTAATGTATTTGTCTCCATATAATGCAAATTATCATTGTGATGTTTTAGTTGTTTTTTATATTCTGTGTAAGAATCTGAATTCTGGTTGGTGGGGTCCAAGAGAAGAGACTTTTTTGCCTTAGCTCCCACCCTCTGGAATATGATTTCCCCTGAAGTGAGATGTTCACATATATCAGTAAAGGACCTTTTTGGCCTTCTGAAAGGGCCTGAAACTTGGCTCTGCCTATTGGCCTCAGGCTCCATGTGGTATGCCATAATGGAAGGGGTTAATGGATTCAGATAAGATTCCTACCTCCCCCATATCCATTTCATCCCTTCCTTGCCACCTTTACCTTTTTATTTTTTAAGTCAATGTTAACGTTAATGCAGTATTTTTTGTTTGTTTTAATGTTTCAATTTGTTGTTTTATTTGGTTTTAAGATGCCTAGAGTTGCCTCTAAATGAGATGGGCAGCATATAAATTTAATAAATAAATATAAATGTGTTTAATAAATACATTAAAAAATAAAAGCTAAACATTAAAAACTAACAATCCTCCATATATAATGCAGATATTCCCAGTAGATATGAGGAAACAGTAGTGTCTGCAAAGTAGGATCAACAGTGACAAGATGGTGGCCACATTACACATTAAAAAGGTCATCACAGCATCATGGTTGCCATCTTGAATTTGTTACCATACTCTGTGGATATCATTGTGGGGAAGCCATTTTTATCATTCTCTCTATATTCTACATTATATATAAATATAACATCTTCTTCCAGTCCAGGTTGAACTGTAGTGATGCCTGGAGAAGTTCATGTAATTTTCTTGGCAAGGATACTATGAGATACCTATTATCTTCTGAGATGGTTTATAATCTTGTCGGGGATTTCCTAGCAGCCTCAGTTTATGTCTAAGAACTAACCAGAATGATTCATGCTTACCTTTTTCAGATCAGCCCAATTCAACCACATATTTATATAAATTCTTTTTGTCCTCTTCCTGAATCTTTTTTCCAATCTTTTTATCCCACCTTTATTATTCTTATATAATAACTCAAAACCTCCCTCCTCCTATTTTTTCCCCAGACAACAACCCTGTGAGGTGAGTTGGTCAAGAGAGAGTGACTGGCCAAAAGTTGCCCAGCTTGCTTTCATGCCTAAAGTGGGACTAGAACTCACAGTCTCCCAGGTTCTAATTTGTTAATGGTGTTAATCCACATTAAATGAACTGGCCTTTGTCATGGGCACTGCCAAACTGCATTCTGTAATGGTACAGCCAATTGTGGGACAATTAAATGAAATTTATTAGCACTTCTAATGATAGCTAAGAATACATGTGTTAAAGGCTGGATAACTCACAGGCCACAAGCTCCATGTGGTTATCAATCCTATAACTGCTCTGTTGAAATTTAGAAACAGAAACAGTGTCACAATTACTAACCAATTTCTGGTGGGGAACAGGGTTAGTGTTATAGAAACTCCCCAAAACAAAATGAAAAACCAGATACTTTATATTCTTGCTTCTTGGCCCACCCCATCCACCCTTATATATTCCCCACTAAAAATAATGCTCATTCATGGAATTGGGGAAAAGGAGCATACTCTTCCTTATCTTTTGGGATCCAATATCAAATATGTTATTTCCGGAACACTCCCAAGGATAAAAACTTTCAGCCAAGAGAATGGGAAATTGGATAAATATTTTATTCTTCATTTAGTCTTGCTCTGCATATTTGCAGTTTCCAGACACAATATGCATAATGCCAGTATTTTTGTGGGCAAAAATAAATTCCTTTAGCTTTTTTCTACTGTTCTTTTAGGTCAGCCCTTATTGCCAGAGAGGTCTCATACCTAAAAAAAACCTCCTAAGCATCAAAAGACAAAAGGGCAGAGAATACTGGAAAAGAACTTTTGTACTTTAAATTTGAATGTGGCGGGAGAGTTGGAATAGAATTCAGGTTAATTTATATGACCACAAATCATATGCATGCTCTTACTAATAAGGTGTTACACATATTTTCATGCTGTATGTGTATATTGCATCTCCTAAGGACTTTTATAAATGAGATATTCCTTATTATTGTACCTCCATTGACTAATTGGTTAAAAAGTTTGCATTTTACAAGCAACACTGTATTTTTTATCTCTGTTTTTTTTGCGAGAAAGTATAGTAGAATGTAGTGGCATACCGCAGGGCTCAATACTCTCCTTTGTATTCCTTCTATCTTTTCCCTTCTCAAAACTGATATGCCCAACTCCTTCACCTCCTTCATAAGTCTACAGGCTTTTTTGTACTGGAGCCATAAGCTTCTGGACATCTGGAAAACCAGCCAGCTGAAGAAAAAAAACTTTTTCCAAATTTCAACCCTTTCCTTCACTTTGGCCATTGTGATAGAATGATAACTTCCTGTGATTTAGAAACTATTGCTACAGTCAACATTGGTACTTTCTGAAGTTATATCACACTGTTAAATTCCATATGCAATCAATTGTTATCCGAAACTTTTTTATAAAAAATATTGTCACACAGGTTTCCCCTATTCTCCAAACCCATGGATTTGATTTTGATTTACACTGTTCTCTATTAAATTCTATTGTATTAATGTTTACTCCTGAATCAGGTAAACCAAGCCTTCCCTCTTTATAATGTGTTTCAAAAGACTACAATGGAAAACAAGGTAGATGCGTTTAAAACTCTTAGGTAATTTCAATTCAACTATCATTGGGTTTATGACCATAGTAATGGGGAATGGCTCCATATATTTGGGACCAGGTTTTTTGCAGTGACTGCGTAAATGTTGTAAAAAGATAAACTTTACCCCCTACTTTACATTCCTTCTGTGGAGCTCTCCTCTTATCAGCTTGTCTGTTACGTGTCCCAGACCTCATTAATGAAGAAATAGAACGCAACATAGATAATGGTAAAAATGAAAACAAAAATTGAAAAATGGATTGGACCAGAAATTGACAGCTTCTTCATTACTCTGTAATGCAGAATTTTGGGAGCATTAATGTAATCTGCAGAAACTGACCAATGGCCATGTTTCAGCTAACCAGACCCCCCTGAATAACATAACACCAACTGTGCCTGGTCCTGGACTTGAGGGGGGGCTTTCTCATTCATGCTACATTTTTTTGTTTACTGCAGTACTCACTACATGGAGCTGTCTTTGAAGATGTTCCAGAAACTGCAGCTAATCCAGAATTAAAACAGCACAGATAGCGTTTGACATTTTTTCATTATACTTGTATAACACCACTGTTTTGTGAATTGCACCAGCTGTCAGTCAGTTTCTGAATGTGATTCAAGTGGGAATTAGCCTCTATAAAGACTCACATGATATCGGACCAGGCTATTTATGGGACTGCAAGTCTCTCATCATCGCTCTTGCCCACCAAATCTAGCAGGGAGAGCATACTTTGGATCCCTTTCATTAGTGTCCTCTTGACACATTAGTTGTACTTTCACTATGGTATCATCTGCTCTGTGAAATTGCTGCTAAGCCAAGCAAAGTACAGGTCAAATGTTAACAGAGATTAACTGCTTCCAGGACCATCAAGAATTATACATATTTTTTAAATGTAAAAGTGTAGAATACCATGGTTCCACCACAAAACCGCGGACGACAAAATCGCGGTCGACGAAAGCGTGCATTTGACGTCATCACAGCGCGACGAAAACATCGGAAAAATGAAAAAATAAACCGAAATGCATCCACTACCCCCCCCAATCATACCTCTAAACCTAACCCTAACCCTTAACCTAACCCTAATCCTAAACCTAACCCTTACCTCTATGTGAATCGGCTTGCTTTAATTTTATTGTTATTTCAATTTTTAATTTTTTTCGTCGCGCTGTGATGACGTCAAATGCGCGCTTTCGTCGATCGCGCTTTTGTGGACCGCGGTTTTGACGGGTCACGGAATACCATATGCAAAAACACTTTCTCATTCTCTTGAGCAGATTTTTCTTCTTGAGAGAGTTACCATTAACTTTGCCTTCCTTGCAGAACCTGAGATAGACTCCAGTAAAAATGAATTTGAAAACTGAACAATTGACCAACTTAGCATCACAAATCCAAATTATTATTCTGTTCTCTTAGGTGTCATTTCATCCATTTTTCTGAATTTGGAATTTTGGTTCTTTTTTTGCAGAACTAATTTCTGTTAATATTTATTTGTCTCAGGAGTCTGTGATGCGTTTAACATCGATACAAAGAAGCCAAGAATTATCCCAGGCTCCAGAGAAGCATACTTCGGCTACACAGTTCAACAGCATGAAATCAATGGGAAGAAATGGTAAACCATACTGCCTTGGCCTGAGATTGAATGTTTAGCTTCTCTTCCAATTCTGCTGCTCTCTAGATGTGTTGAATATGGCTGTCTGGTTGGAAAATAATGAGTGCTAAAGGCACATCTGACCGTATCAGTCTAGTGAAGGCTAGCTTATTTTGTGATGTCCCTTAAAGTTTAGGACAAAAGTGTAGTTTGTTAAAATGCCTTTTTAATTGAGCTGCAACACAATCTTTTGTTGTCATTGTTATGTGGATACCAGAAATATCAATGCTAAATAACAATAGTAGTAGTATATTGAATGATTAATCTTGTGATTATATCAATATCAGAGCTAAAAGGTATTCTTTTTCCAAATTACTCATGTGTTGCTTTGCTTATAAAGGATAGAAGATTGCTCAGTTCATGCACAAATGTTAACTCCCAGGGGGAAAAATATCCTCCAGCGAGGGGCAACCTGTAGAATTTTTAGATTTTCACACTCTATTCCCAGGGCCCTTGGAAGGACTAGAACACCAGCATTAATCTGTCAGCATCCAGAAAAAATACGAACACACAAAGTGTTTGAAAAAGGAATTATGTTACTGACACTCGAATACAAATAGTGGTGGTGACATTTTTAAAAAGAACATGTTCTTTTTCATCATTTACATGTCAAAAAATAAAAGTAGGGTAATTTTTTATGTAAAGAAAGGCAGATTCTCCATTCAGTCACACTATGATTTAAACAGGGAGAAGATGTGTACAAGCTGTTCATATTCTAGAAAATGTAGCAAATATAAATGATGACAGAACTTTTAAGTTTAAAAAAATCTATGAACCTTCCATTAAAAATCCAGATTGCAATATCATTTTAATATATGCAAGGTTTTTTTTTCTTTTTACAACACTGTAATTTCTTGATTTGGGGTGGAGTCAGGGTGACATGGTAGAGCTGAGCATTTACTGACCAGATACCCTTCCTGACACCTATGCAGAATTTGCAGCAAATATTTTCTCTTTGCGCCCAGAGAGAGAGAGAGAGAGAGAGAGAGAGAGAGAGAGAGAGAGACATCTGCCACTGCCTAGGATTGAACTCTCAACCTTCTGACTGGGAGGTTAGCATCTTTACCACTAGGCTACCACAGCCCGCTCTATCCTAACATATTCAAGAATAATATGCATAAACCTATATAGCTTGGTGTTTTGTGGTTTGAGTGCCAAGCATTCAGTCAGAATTTGTGGGTGAAAAAGTCTGGTGCAAATGGAGCTAACATTTCAGACTATTTTTCTAATGCCCTGGCAGCTGAGTATATGAACTAGCTATGGATCCAAGAGTTGCCTTTGACTTGGCATGACATTTCTCCCTAGGATATTCAATCAGAGTGCTATTGCAGTCTTTGGGAAAGGGATATCCAGTGTCTGAGCCAACTGTTAAGTCTGTTTCTTTTTAAAAAGATGTCTAAAATGCAAATTCAAGAATTAGTAGCTAAAATAAGCTAATGTAAAGCCAACATGACTTATCTGGTAAAAATATGAATCACTAAACAAACAAACCGACCAATATATGTCATACTATAATTCAATGTTGTCTATGGTGCCCATATTCAGCTGACTCTGCTAAATTTGAAATTGGCAAAAAGCATATGTACTGGGGGGGAAAGAAAACTAAAAAAATATATCAAACTTTTATTGCAACCTATGGGCCAGAAATCTCAGCAATAAAACACATAAACATGCAATGTTTGATAAAAGTTTAAAAATAACATATGAAATACATTATTATAGTAACTAGTAAAAATATCAGTAGCAATCACCAAATTCTATATATTACTAAAAATCTTGTGTCTTTAACTGGGTGAAACAGTATGTCATAGGGCAAAATATTTTTACCAAGAAACCTCTGCATCCACAGAGGGATAACATTAAGATTATGAGAAATGATAGTACTGCTTTATTCTGCACCAGTGAGGCCACTTGAAATCCTGGGTCCAATTGTGGTCACCATGATACAAGAAAGATTCTGAGACCCTAGAAAATGTGCAGAGAAGAGCAACAAACAAAGGATCTGGAGGCTAAATCGTACAATGAATGGTTAAGGGAATGATGACCTCACAAAGAGAAGGATTAGGGGTGACATGAGAGCAATCCTCCAGTATTTGAGCAGCTGTTACAGAGAAGAGGGGATTGACTTATTTTCCAAAGCACTAGAGGACAGGAGAAGAAGCAATGGATGGAAGCTCTTTAAGAGAGATCCAGCCTGAGACTAAGGAGAAATCTCCTGACAGTGAGAATAATCAGTGGAACAACTTGCTTCCCAGAGTTGTGGATGCTCCATCAATGAAGTTTTCAAAAGACTGGACAGTTATTTGTCCGGGATAGTGTAAAGTGTCCTGCCTTGAGCAGGGGGTTAGACTAGAAGACCCATAGTCCCTTCCAGCCCTATGGTTCTATGATTCTACCAATTTGTCCCCATATCTTCTTTTCCTGAACTTGTTTAGAATATGCAAAGTCTTTTCATTTATGTAGATGTTTTCTTTATATATCTTTAAGTCCAATTTAATACGAAATTAAGCTAGATAAGAGTCATTTTTAAAGAAGCCTCTGTGTATGTGATGCATGTGTGCGTGTGTGTGTGTGTGTGCATGTGTGTGTGTGTGAATGAGTGAGAGACAGAGAGAGAGACAGAGAGATTCCTATGAGTCATTATTGATTCTTGGCAACTGCCTAGACAAATCCTTGCAGTTTTCTTGGCAAGATTTTTCTGAAGTGGTTTTCCTTTGCTTTCTTCCTAAGACTGAGAGAGAGAAACTAGCCCAAAGTCTTCTAGCTGGATTTGTGCCTAAAACAGGATTAGAAGTAAACTACTATATCAAATTGCATTGTCATTGTCTTCTTCTTCTTCATCTTCTCTCTGATAGCCAAATGCACATGTGTAAACATTTTTGCAAAGCCAGATCACATTTTCAGATATTTGTCTTCAGTCATCAAAATTCACTTCCTCCACAGACCCAGACTCTATTAAGGAGCATGATTGATGGATGTTTACCTGGTATCTGGTGTTGTTTTGATGGAAATTGGAGAATTAAAACAGGGAATTTCCACCAACCACTCTCCTTAATGTGCCCTGTACTCAGTAAATAAGGACAACAACATTTGCTGGGACTGGACTTCTGGCAGGATAGGAAGTATTGATGAGGCAACAAATTTAATACTGCTGTAGCTTTCTTCAGGCCAAGAAACCAGATGAAAACCATATTAACTGAGCCATAAAGACATACTTTCCCCTTTCAAATAATTCTTGACTTCATTTTTCAACATATTTTTCCATGTCAACATTAGCTCCTTTTCTTTATAGCAGAGGAAAAGTTAAGTACCGTAGTCTATATTTATCTACTCCTCCTTCTTCCTTCCTCCCTCCCTCTCTCTCTCTCTCTGCACGTGTGTGTGTGTGTGTGTGTGTGTGTGTGTGCGTGCGGGTGCTTAGGTCTATTTAAAGTTTTTCAGCAGAACTGCTTTCTTCATTTTGAAGTTCAGGGGAAGCAGCCAAATGTTACCCATTTGGGGGAAAGGCTTCCAAGTATAATGGTGGTAGTGGAAAGTATGAAAAGAAAGAATTCAGAGAGATTCCAAGAGAGAAGGGGAAAAGTCATTTTCATGCTCCAAAATACAGCCAACACATTAGGTCATCCTCTTTCTTCATTATCTTTCCAGATTGGCATTGAAGCTTGTTCTTTCTAATTTACTGAACTTGGCTCTTTTTTTGTCTAAAATAAGCACGCAGTTATTTTAGTGTGTTAAGAGTATTTCTTTTTCAGAGTGAATTTAACAGTTCTCGAAAACAGGAAATCTCAACATTTCTAATTTTGCTTAATTATGAAAATATTCCAAAATTTCTGAATCTGAAATTTTATATACCATCTGATTTATTTATGCTTCATTTAAAAAGATTTTATGAGCCACTAGCTTAGATCCCTCACAAGCCTGCTTAGGTTTCCCAATGTATGTGATGACAATTCACTGAACAGTTAAATAGTAGAAATGAGCCTCTGATCTCAAAAATAACCACTAGATAGATTCAGTTATTATTTAATAATAACTTCTGTTCTATTCTCCTTCTGTCACATTATGCATCTGGGCAGGGGGCTCCAGGGGCTCCTATTATTTAAAGAAAACCATTCTGGAATCCTTTTCTCAGTTTTCTCCCCAAAAGAGCTCAAGAAGATCCACGTATGAAAATAAGAGGAAGACGCAAAAACATAGGAATGAACCAGATCCACCCCTTTCCCAGCAACAGCTCACCTCTTCTCTGTCTCCAGCCATCCGGTGAGCAGTCCAAGCTAGGCCCCACAGCAATGCATTGTAAGACAGTTAGGATACTTGTCTTGTGGGTGAAGGGTGGCACATCTTTCATCTACACGGCTCCCATAGAATCCAGCAAAGAGACTACCAAACCAACTTGGGCATCTCTCAAGCTGCACCTCTAAGCATATCTGGCAGCTGTTCCATTCAGCTCCTGGATAGGAGCCACCCATTCTAATCTGCCACCAAAGAAGCTGCTGTATTTCACTGAGTGGTGGGGTCCATCCAGAGATAAGCAGGAGGAAAGTCAGGAACTCAATATAGTTTGGAGTGGACAACATAATGCCCTATTTCCCCAATATTGATGTACATATCCATTATTTCAGTTGAGAAATATATGCATATATGACCCATCAGCCTGTGCATCCTACTCACTCATACACAAACATAACTATGGTTTAGTGAGTTTATTAATGTTCTCCAGAAATTTCCTTAATCAAAAACCCAGAATTAAATTTAGTCCAAAGAGGCACTTGAAAGTTTCTCAATCAAAATAAATCCTCCAGCCAATTTGCTCATAGACAGCTGCTTGGAGCTATCAATCAACTCAGCTCTTGATGTGCCAGGAACTGGTTCATCCTCCTCCAGATGACATCTGGAGAGGTATCTGAGGAAGTTTCGGGGGGCAGCAGTGGGATTCACTTACCTTCCCTAACGGTTTGCAA